CCTTTTCGTGTTTTTCTTGGTTCGATTAGGGTTGATTGAGATGTTATAAATAATCAAATTACAAAATATTACTAAGATCAAAATCGATTCAAAATTTTGAGTCTACAATGTTTACAAAATGTCGGAATTTTTTACTTACCGTGTGTAAAAAAAAGAAGTTCTTAGATTTTTATTTATTGGACATCATGCAACATTGATTGGGAAGTAAGTTGCACATATTGATTGGGTACCTGATGTGGAGGGTACTTGTACTACTGGGGAAATCACTAAGCTGGTTATCTTAGCTGGGGGTGGTTGTCTGCAGTGGCGTCGCTAGGTCGGGTGTCACCCGGTGCGACACCAAATGGTGTCACCCCCCCCCCTCCCCTAAACAAAACTACACACACACACACACACACACACACACACACACACACACACACACATATATATATATATATATATATATATATATATATATATATATATATATATATAATATATATATATATATATATATATATATATATATATGTATGTATATATATATATAAATATATAAATATATATATATATATATATATATATATATATATATATATATATATATATATATACATACATATATATATATATATATAGACCTATATATATATATATATATTTATACATATATATATATATATATATATATATATATATATATATATATATATATATATATATATAGGTCTATATATAGTTGCAATTGGTGTCACCCCACTCCCATTTGCTTAATGGCGTCAATTTGTTGTTGATTGACTTATGGGTTATTTCAAATACTCAACAAAACCTTCATTCCACTGTAAATTTTTCAGTTTGTATCACCCCCCCCCCCCCCCCCCCCCCCCGCCACTGGGTGATTGTTTTTAATTGTGCACAATTAAATTAATAGTAAAGATGTTTATCTATAGTCATGTATTAATACAGTGGATTCACGCTAATTAACCCTTAATTGAACTGACAAAAAGCATATTTCTTCTATATATGTTGCACATTTTCACCATGGTGTCACCATGGTGTCACCCGGTGCGGTCCCGCACCCCCTGCCCCCGCCTCGCGACGCCTCTGCTTGTCTGGTTAGGTAGGTGCTAAAACATGTAATGTACCAACCTATATAAACATATTTTTTAAATGGTTACTACCTGTCTGTTCTACCTGTGTGTCCTACCTGTGTGTCCTACCTGTATGTCTACCTGTGTGTCCTACCTGTGTGTCCTACCTGTGCGTCCTACCTGTGTGTCCTACCTGTGTGTTCTACCTGTGTGTCCTACTTGTGTGCTCTGCCTGTGTGTCCTACCCCTGTGTCCTACCTGTGTGTCCTACCCGTGTGTCTTACATGTGTGCCCTACCTGTGTGTCTTACCTATGTATCATACATACCTGTCTGTGCCTACCCTTCTGTTAAGACACATTTTGTCTATCTGGTTGGGTTACGTTCGACTGGTTAAATCGTAATTTGATTAGATCTAGATCTAATAATAAAAAAAATCAATAAAACATTTCAATGAGACCATAAAGTAGTCACGTTATGTTTTGTACAGCTATGGTTCAACTAACATATGCTAACAGCCGACGTAAGCACGACATGTCATCTACATCATATTTACATTAAGGAATGACATCTACAGCACAGATGTCATCATGATATGTCATCTATAGTAGGTCATGACATTTACAGCATGGCATGTAATCTATAACAATACATCAAATTTACAGCATGACATAACATCTACAGCAAGACTTGACATCAACAGGATGGCATGATATCCACAGGATAATATGATAACCACATAACAGACTAGGGCCAGCGCATTTCTGGAATACAATTTTTGTTTTACTAATACATTATCTGCAACAGATTGTTTTACTAATACATATCTGCACTAGATTGTTTTACTAATACATTATCTGCAACAGATCGTTTTACTAATACCCAGTTTTATTGCTCCTATTAACTGGATGCTAGTAATGTGCCAAAATCTTCAGTCGCACCTTCAGAAAACTTAAATATCTTCTGAACAATGTGTAAACTGGAATAAAATCGTTAGTTTTCTATCACATACAACTGTTCATAACTCACCTAAATGCCACACCCCTAGTCACCCCCAACCGCCAAAACTCTGCCAGCAAGAGTCGTTACCCCCCCCCCCCCCCCTACCCAACAACTACCATCACAAGGACACATACAAGATCCTCCTTATGTCTCCCCTATTACCCTGATTGATTTTCAAACAATCGTCGATTTACCAGCGCGCACACATTTAATAACCAAGCCCTTGTGTCCGCACACATGTTAATTAAATCTTCATGAATTTTAATTAATCCTTCCCACCCCCAGTGTAATCAGGACACGGTGGGTATTTTCCTCCCCCTGCGGCTTGCCTGTTGTCTTTTAATTATGTTCATTCAAGCGTGCCGGGGTATTTTTCTTCTTTATATCAGTCAACAATGCATCATTGATTTAACGGTTGCCGGTGTTCAACCGGTTGGAGCCGGCACCAGTTCAACACGTTGGACCTGAAGATCTACGTCTGCTAACGCTTGTTTCAGATCCGATACAGTTAATTAATTTTTTACACCAACTCTAGTTCGACACATTTTTTTAGGAAACTGTGGACGTTGCTTGATAACTGCAGTTGTTTGGTCGATAGAAACTTTTATGGGGACGAAAAATTACAACGTCATTTACTCAAAACAATTCTTTGGTAGGATGGCGTCATCAGGCGCATGTCTTGAGTTGTTACCCCTGTGTTTGGCCATGTACGAGTCGCTGCCCCTAGGTGAAATCATGTTTGAGTTGCTACCCCTGGGTGAAGCCATGTATAAGTTGCTGCCCCTGGATAAAGTCATGATTAAGTTGCTGCCCCTGGGTGAAGTCATGTTTGAGTTGCTACCCCTGAATGAAACGTAAATGGATTTTAACAAGGCCGGTGACGCCTATGTGTAATTTACAAATTACTGTGTAATTAGCGATTTTTTTAAAAGGCCAAACAAACAATTAATCTTGTCTAGGCCAATATCAGGAACAAGCATCTGGCAACACAAGGCAGCTTTACCTCCCTTGTCTTGAACCGGAGTAGAGTTTTCCAGTGTTTCTTCCAGAATTTTTTCTCCGGGGGGGGGGGGGGGAGCGCTTGAAATTTTCGGGGGGGGGGGGGGGGGGGCGGTAGACCTGGAAGAAACTCAGGAGTTTTCTGTTGACCCAGCTGGAGTCACGTGATCCACTGCCCATTTGACCTAGCTGTTCAACTAATCAGTCTGTGAAATATGGGATTTTTCATACTAGCAATTTCACCCGTTAATCATTATAAAACAACGGGCAATTAGAAAGGTTTTACAATTTTATTTTTTTGCATTATTTAAGTATCATTAAAAAAAACTGTTAAACATGTTAAGTTCTATTTCACTAATTTAAATAATTAAATCTTTTCAACTAATGAACTCATTGCTAAGAGATCAAAGTTGAAATTCCTGCAGAATTGTTTAACGGTAGCTATAACGTGTCGTGCGTGAGCTTGTATATATATATATATATATATATATATATATATATATATATATATATATATATATATATATATATATATATATACATATATATATACATATATATATATATATATGTATGTATGCATATATATACATATATATACATATGTATACATAAATATTTATATCGTTTTGGAGCGCTCATGTGTAAGATTGTTCACACATTAGAACCCTGGTTCGATAGACTTGGGTCACACAACTTGAGATCATTATCTACAACAAAAACACCGGTACCGTGCTGAATACTTGCCTGAGTCAGTTAACTCTGGGGTGATAGATCGAGCTATTGAAAAGCTTACGTTGATCTGTGAGGTGAGGCTTGCTAGTCAGGGCGTCTGGGCTGGTAGTTTTACTTTGGGCTTAGGTTAACAGGTTGGTAGTTTTACTTTGGGCTTAGGTTAACAGGCTGGTAGTTTTACTTTGGGCTTAGGTTAACAGGCTGGTAGTTTTACTTTGGGCTTAGGTTAACAGGCTGGTAGTTTTACTTTGGGCTTAGGTTAACAGGCTGGTAGTTTTACTTTGGGCTTAGGTTAACAGGCTGGTAGTTTTACTTTGGGCTTAGGTTAACAGGCTGGTAGTTTTACTTTGGGCTTAGGTTAACAGGCTGGAATAGATAACCTTCAGCTAGTTATTGGGTTCATGGCTTTTAGCTAGTTGAACTATTGGGTCGATGTTCATATCGTCGGTATTTCAGCCAGGCTATATGTGAGGCCGGCTGTATGTAAGGCCGCCTGTACGTAAGGGCGCTGTATGCCAGCTGTATGTAAGAGCGCTGTATGTAAGGCCGGCTGTATGTAAGACCGGCTGTATGTAAAGCAAGCTATATGTAAGACTGGCTGTATGTAAGACAAGCTATATGTAAGGCCGGCTGTATGAAAGGTCGTTGATATGTAAGACGGGGTGTATGTAATACCGGGTGTATGTAAGACCGGCTGTATGTAAGGCCGTCTGTATGTAAGGCCGTCTGTATGTAAGACCGGCTGTATGTAACCATGTCAAGCCGTGTAAGAACCGACCCACAAGTAGGCTAAACAAAACAACGTGTCCCAACACACGACAAGCGATACAGACGGGGTGAAACAACTGATCCATTGACTTGACCCTAATCGATCCACGGTTTGGCCTATGGTTAACTACCCAGCGATCAAATAGATAATGTTTCAGCTTTGTCCTCTTGGCGTCTCGCAGGGTATCGAGGTTGCCATTTATGACACTTGGTATCGATTACGGCTGTTACTGAAGAATTGAGATGTATTTCATACTGCCCCTCTCTGGTATCGATTACGGCTGTTACTGAAGAATTAAGATGTATTTCATTCTGTCCCTCTCTGGCTTACAAACCATTTTGTTTACTTTAAAAAATTGTCTTTCTTACAGAAGATCTAGGCTAAAAACTGTAACAATACAAATCACAACTAGGTAAACGTGTTTATCAATTTTTTTATTAATATTATATACTTACAAATCAAACAGTAACGTCAACAGCAACTGTAATTATGAGAGCAACGAAAAAAAAATATTCATTACAGTTTTTCCTTACTACAATCCTATGTTTACTCATATTACACTCGACGAAGACTGAAGATCGAAACATGGCAATAAACATGAGCACGGCTGGTCACGTGATTGTAACACATCACTTTGAAAATTTCTGTAACAGTGCAAACAAATTTCGTAACATTTGAGTACTTTAAACTGAGCTCCTTGACCTTTGACAGCAATAGGTCAAGTAATTAAACATTTCGATTCTCAAAATGATTTTCTGAGAAAAAAAAATCATTGCACACCTTTTTAAAAAAAAAAAAAACCCCTTACTTATGATGTTATCTGTAAATTGCTAAGTAGGGAGGGTTTAACTAATTAAAAATTAGCTAATGCTTGGGGATTTTGGGACTGGTTTCTATTTTATCTAAATCGATGCTAGACGCTGTTGTTGATCGATTTCAAACACATAACGATACCAGAATACGATTGATTTTTATAAAGCTTTATAACATCTCAATACAAGGATTAAATATGGAGGGCAGTATTCGACTGGATATTTAAAAACATTACGGATGATATATATGGCTTTGTGTGTGCACTGAATGTTTTGGTGTCACCTTGTTCAAGTCACCTGACACCATGTTCAACTCTGTGACTCTAAGTTCACATTTGCGTCACCTAGCCTAAGCTCATCTAAGTGTCACCTTATCTAAATTCAACACTCTGCTTATGACCACCTACGTATCACCCCACCTCTAGATTAAAAAACCAAATCCATTCGTGCACTTATATCGGCACATAGACTAATGTCACTCAGTATATACTAAAATATACCCCCCTCCCTCTTTACACAAAGCAAACAAAACAATTTGTACATAACATATTTGATATCATCAAAGTAATACTTGATTGAATGTACATAATACACACGCGAAAGTCCCCAATGTTAGGGTCGCAATTTACCCAAATGTCGGTCTCTAGTTTTAGTTTGATTCAACATCAATTCTGCTGGTAAGGTACTCAAGGTCATACATATATAGTTTGATATACTCATAGTGTGTCTATTGCTATATGAAAACAGTGCTAAATGTCTATATATGTCAAATAGGAAGATGGACATGTGTCTATATGTCATTTGGGATGATGGACATGTGTCTATATGTCATTTGGGATGATTTTTTGTTTTAAGAACACACACACATAACATAGTTCGTGACTGTTCTAATTTACAAAGTCGGAAGTTTTTCATCTAATTTACATCTGACGTCACACTTAATGTACATATCTGATCTACACACCTCGGTTCACACGTGTGACGTCATCCACTTAATTTACATATCTGACCACGGTCCTCCTAATCAACGCATCAGACGTCAACACACTCATGTCACTGACTGGCCTAATGGTCAGCTGCTACACGTCATCCAGCTAATTACACATGTGACGTCATTCACACGATCAACACCTGTGACGTCATTCACACGATTAACACGTGTGATGTCATCCACCCAATTTACCCGCGTGACGTCATCCACCGAATATACACGAGTGACGTCACCCGCCCATGTCACACGTCTGAGGCTGGTGAGTTCATTCAAAATGCTGTTGTTCCATCGGATGGTGTGTGAGCGGGGTTTCCTCCACACTGGGCACGTGACGGTTGGCTGAGATCAGTAGAGCACATGTGGAGAGTTCCGTTGTTTACACGTGTTTTTTTCTGAAGCAGTACTCACTCTGGTCCAGCGTGCAGGTGAGCAGGGAAGTGGCGAGCGGTAAGATTTGAACGTGGTAAGTTTTTTTCCTCCCCTCACCTGAAGAACCTCTGCCAGAGGAGTCGCCGATAAACTGTTTGCTTCCAGAAACTAAAGAAATGACATAGCTTGCTAAGCTGTCGTAATGGGAACAATGACATAGCTTGCTCAGCTGTCGTAATGGGAACAATGACACAGTGTCAGGCGAGCCTTAGCCCGGGGGAGCGGACAGCTGAGGGTGTCTGGCATCCCGCTCCAGCCGTGCCGGCAGTTCCTTCTGTGCTAAACGTTGTTCTCTTCTCCTGGAACGATTCTTGTTGTGGCGTCGCCTTTTGTGGACCTTCCTCTTTCGCTGTCTTTGTCTCCGTTTCGACTTTGTATCCAACAGTTTTTTAATACCTTTGATAAAATCGTCCTTAAGTTTGTCCGGCTTGTCAGCCGACAGTTCTGCTGTATGGTTTCTTAGCAGTTTATTTATTTTGATCACTCCTCGAGGTTTGCTGGTTGGTTTGTTTATTTGTTTGTTTATTTGTTTGTTTGTGGCTGTTTGTGGTGAATGTTTCTTCTTCCACTCAGAGCGCATGCGCCGGGCTATACGTGAATAGCCAGGAAGTAGCCGCCGGGCTACTCGCTTAATTACTCTCATGTTTGGTGTTTTACCTCGCTTCACAACCCATTTTTTAATCTTGCTCGCCAGACAATCTACTTGTGTGTCATTGGGGGAGGCCAACATCCTTTCAAGTATCGGGCACATGCAGTTCTTGGTCTGAGCACATTTGAGTCTGCATCTGGTCAAGGATTCAGTGACGTTCTTCGCCAGGCGAATTAAATTTCGACACACCTTAGCTTTGAACTTTTTCTCCTTTTTTAGACGCAGCTTCCTGTCTATCTCTTTCTGGGGGATACACTTGTGCGTGGTATTGTCCTCCGGCTCTGGGGGATGCCGGATGAGTGCTTTGTTGGCCGGCTCCGTGATGAAGCGTGTCGTCTTCTCGGTGCTGTTGGTCTCAGACCCTAGCAGGGCCTGGCAGTCGATGCCTAGGTACAGGTGCCGGTGGGGGGTCCGGTAGAGCGTGAACTCGTAGGTGGCACTCGCAGAACCCTCGGCATCGTTGTTGCTCTCGTGGATGTAGCACTCTTTGTTGTCGTTAAACTCTTTCTATTGAAGGTAAAAAAAAAAGTTCAGATTTCTACAAACTGTAAAAGTGTTAGAAATAAGATTGTTGGTAGCAGATAGTTATATACTGCACTAAAAGTAGGTATTTTAAAATCTATGGTGAAAAAAAGGGACAGAGTTAAAGTTAGGATTAGAAAACTAAACTGGGTTAAAGTAAGAGGTTATCACTAAAGACCGGACACCTACTTTGGGCAAGAAGTAATGTAAGGATGAGGAAGGGTAGACTACCATGTAGATGTAATGTAAGAATGAGGAAGGGTAGACTACCATGTAGAAGTAATGTAAGGATGAGGAAGGGTAGACTACCATGTAGAAGTAATGTAAGAATGAGGAAGGGTAGACTACCATGTAGAAGTAGTGTATGGATGAGGCAGCACTTACCCTGTGTACTAGGTAGAGTTGGGATTCCTTATTCATACAGATGAGCTGATGCGAATCGGCGCTGGATATCAAGAGGCTGTTGTTGTGGGAGATGAACTGGAGGATGCCTGTAAGGGAGAGAAGCGAGGATGGCATCAATAACTCTTCATGACTTAACGGGGAAAATGTAGATTTTATAAATCATCTGGTGATTATCACACAGGTACTGTTTAAATGGGTGATTTATCAACAGGCACACTGGTTTAAATTACGTCATGGTGTTATAAACCTATCAATATATTTTTTAAGGACCATTTTTCTTAGTTTTTAATTTTTACTTGAATAGATTAAAGTGTATCAACATTAGTTTAACACTAACCAAACAGTTTCATATAAATACAACTTGTAAAGGTGAATTAAACCAGCTATTGTATAAGCACCACACATAATCTTCATAATTTTTTTTTTCGATAATCGATGTTTAAGGTTTCCTTAAAGGAAAGAACTCAAGATTTTATTTGGTTGAGTTGGGGCGACCACCCTACACAGACACGCAGATAGGGCCCATTATCTAGAGCACCATTCAGTCTACGACCAGCTTTGATGCGCTTGATTAACTACAATAACGTATTCAAGCTATAGACGGCCCGTTTAGCCCGACAATAGACTTTGGGGCGTTTGTTTGCTTGCATGTTCGCACAAGTATCTGAACGGTTTGATATCTGCCAGGTAAACACAGTATCTGAGTCGATTAGTATCTGCCATCTAAACACATGTATCCGATTCAGTTAATATCTGCATGCTAAACACGTAACAAATGATTGATATCTGCCTGTAAACACATTAGGCCTATCTGAGATGATTAATATCTGCATGCAAAACGTATGCGGGCATGCAGATTAGTATAATGCCAAAGTATATTATTGAGACTATAATCATACTCGAAACATTAAAGGTGTGTATATAAGTATTGTACACACGAAAATAGTGCTGCGCTTATTTTTTCGACTGGAAACAACTACTGTCGTTTGTTTATCTCACAGTTGAGCTGTAGAAAGCTATAGGGTCTCAACCACTGGGGTAAGATAGATGAACAATCTCAAGAGAGAGAGAGAGAGAGAGAGAGAGAGAGAGGGAGATTATACTGGAGACACAGATATATAGCGAATAAAGAAACAAACACATTTACACATATAGACAGAGGGAGACACAGGAAACACACACATACACAAACATACAGACACACACAAGTTCAGTCCATTTATAGACACATATAGACTCAGGAAACACACACATACATGCACATATAGACACAGGAAACACACATACAGACACTCACAAGGCCATGTATAGACACATATAGACTTAGGAAACACACACATACATGCACATATACCTCGGGAAACACACTTACATATACAGGCACATACAGAAACACACTTACACATACAGGCACATAGAGACATATATATCCAGGACACAGTTCAAGCATCACATACATGTTTGACCTTATTGCCTCTTGACCTAATATTGACAGATAACATCAAAGGCATGAGATAGGACAGACCATTCACAATCGAACGCTATCAATTCATCAGTTCTGAAGGTCCAACATAACATGGCTTGCTTTACCCACCTCTAGAAAGTACCTACTAACTAGCCAACCATATATATATATATATATATATATATATATATATATATATATATATATATATATATATATATATATGTATGTGTGTGTGTGTGTGTATTTGTGTGCTACGTACGTAGGCTTATAATATATAGGTATTATTAATTATAAGCTAAGTAAAAGTCTATCTCTCGCATATGTGTATATAGGTTATAGTACATAAGCTATATATATATATATATATATATATATATATATATATATATATATATATATATATATATATATATATATATATATATATATATATATATATATATATATATATATATATATATATATATATATATATATATATATAGTGTATCAAATCATACGTGTATAATATGCTGATGTGTATTATAACAAAAAGCGTCATTACACTCTCTGAAAATAATGTGGACAAATGAAGCCTGTTATCATTTTTAAAAATGTACAGAATATTGAATCGTCCTAATTAACAACGGTTGTCAGTCACTGCTAATTAGAGCCAGGTGATAAATACCTGAAGCGGGTCAGGTAAATATAGCTATGACATCAGCTGAGCAGTGAGGTTTATTTTTAAAGCAATGACCCACAGCCGTTGTGTGGATTCGTTTCCCATTTGCTAGCAAGCACTCACGGAGCTACGGAGAAACGAAAGCTTGGCTACTTAATTATTTAATTAATTAATTATAATTGATGTTTTCCGTACAAGATTTCAAGTTTTACAGAACGGTTTCTAAACTTTTCTTTCGGTGAAAACTAATAAGGATACTTCAGACAGGTAAAGTTTTATGTTGTTTTAAACTGCAGCAGTTAAGTTTTTTTAAACGTAAAGTTTTAATGACGAGTTTTTTATTGTGTGCTTAGCTAAACATAAACAACAGGTAGCGCCCCTTAGTCGTGTGGAAGACTTTGCTATGCCAATCGTTTCCCTGTATACATCCAGATTGTGCACTCGACATTAGCCATTGTTGGCTTGAGTTGAATTAATTTTTTTATTCGACCAGCGAATTGTCCTGGGATAATTAACACGTTTCAAAAGTCTTAAAATAAACGAAGAGTATATGCAGAAGTAATCCGTTACGTTTATTGCGACGTTATGTGATTTATAAACCAGAGTTATTTCTCTGTTTACTTGAAACTACTTGCAAACTGGTCAGACTTGTTCTGATTTCAGTCAAACCATCACCATAGTAACGGCACCAACCTTGACCTTCACATTTAGCTCACGAAAAAAGCCATCAGGATCGGTTAATACTTGTTGTATTTTTCTGCCTAATTTTTTGTATCCATTAAACTCACTCACACACACTCTCTCTGTCACACACACTCTCTCTCTCTCACACACACACACACGTCCACACACCCAGAAACCTTGTGTCCACCTAGTTTCGGGTAAGCTTTAAAATGTCTATAAAACTCTCGCGGATTCTAAGAAAGCTTTTACCACCGGCACCGTAATCCTTATCCCGGCATTAAAAATTCTATGCCAGACCCGGCTGTCAGGTATCAGAGTAGACAATACTGGCTTCACCAGAAGTACAAAGTTCCGATAATTCTGGGGTGGTGGTGTGTGTGTGGGGGGGGATGTTAGAAGTAAACAATTAGTTTTTTTTTTTTTTTGCTACTGACCGAGTTTCAAATATGTGTAACTTGTCTGGTTAATTATAATAAATAGGTGTGGGTGTTGGGTGTGGGTGTGTGTGCGAGTGGGGGGGGGGGGGGAAGGGGGCTACAGCTAAAGAAAAAAAATGTTGCTTCATTGTGTAAAGTGTTTTATATCTGCTTAATTTCTCTTCACGCTTTGAGGTTAAAGGTTAAACTACGCCACACACGGCACAAAATAGCCGGAATTCGAAGCCAGTTGGGCACAAAGGAAATAATTCACAGTGATGGGGGAAGAGGTGCGACTCATTTAAATACCAAATCTAGCGGGGGAACACACGACATGTATTTTGCGATTAATGAGAGCAAGGGTGTGAATGGGATCATTGGCGTGACAGCATCATTGGCGTGACAGCATCCCCTACGTGACACCACGCTGATCTTCAAAAGTGGCCCGTCAGGGTCACGCGATACTCGCCCCCGACACCCACCATGAAGGAGGGCCATTCACCGCCAGTTACCAGAAACCGTCGAGTGCGTAATCGAGTTGGGAATTCCCAATAAATCACTTGGTGCGCAACAGTGTAAATCAGGCGCGGCGTTACGGTGTCTGGCGGGTTTGAATGGATGTGGGCAGCGCCCCGGTGAATTGGGGAATATCAAAGCCAAAAGGACAACGCCAGTCCGGCTCCCCCTCCCTCCCCTCCCTATGGAAACGCCCCTGGCTTTGCATGCAGAGTCGAGTTTCGCTTTTTTTCGTTGACCACTGGTCAGTTGGAATTCACAGCGGACAAAAGCCATTTTTACAACTGGAATTACCAGCCATTTATTATGGAATAACTGGACGGGATTTTCTCTCCGAGAGTGTAACGCTATCGAGTTTCACCCAGCGAATGACCAATGTCCCCATTAACCATGAGTCTGGAGCTGTATTCAACTCTGGTTTACATGTTGCCGTCCTATATATGGGGATTTATAGTCCCCCACTTAGGCCTTTAATTGACCGGTAGTCTAATGTTGTTTGATGTTCAACGCTTTAGTATCAGCCTACGCCGATAAATGATTTTAGTTTTGGTGCGCCGTTTCTACAAAGATTGTTACATTTGAATACAGTTTCTAATTCATCAGTAATTACATTATAATCAGATTTTTAAAAACTTGTGTTGTAGAATTGTATTTTCCGGATTTCTTTGTCAAATTTAAGGATACACTTTTTCAAAATAAAATGTACAATATCAAAATTTGAAATATTTAAAACTTAGTAGATTCTTTTTTTACGCGAACATGGGTTCTTGCTTCACAACGTTTGTGAATCTGGGAAAACAAGCATCAACTGACCAGGAGGGGGGGGGGGGGGGTGTGTTAAGATAACAGTCAATACAATGTGGACACGCTGCCTTGCAGTTGTTTGAGTCCTCAAGACGGGCGAGCGTAACCACCAGCTAAACCATAACGGCGGGGTTGAGAAATGCCCGGTGGTTTAGGGGATTTAACTACAAGTCAGCTGTGAGAAAATGTTTTCGTTAGAAGGGGGGGGGGGGGGCGCAGTGGTTTGAAAATATGTTTGCCGTCGGCCCCCCCCCCCCCCCCCCCAACCTCACCATCGCGGCCCAACCTGCTCCGGTCATAGCCGCTAATAGAAAAACCACTTATTTTGTCTTTCCACCTCCGTTTAACTCGGGTTTAACTACGTTTAACAAAAAATGGCGAGATTCTCCGGTATTATTCATGTATGTAAGGAGGGGGGGGGGAGGAGGAGGGGGGGAGTTAGATGGTCAACAATTTAATGACACCCTTCACAAAGTCAATTGGGTAACAGTTTATATACACCCTTCACTACATAGACGCGGGGACAGAACCGTAATA